TAATTCAAACTTGTTAGATTATATTTCCTTTTTAGGTTGTATTTAACCTGAAGTATCTAACCACATGCTTAGACTTAATGTGTTTTTAATATACATTTTTTCTAAATTGTATAAATAATCCTTATAAATTCATCTTATAAATTGCCACCTGCCAGGGTCTGAGTTCCAGAAACATTGGGCATGGTTTGCCGCTGCCTTCTGAATGCTTACCTGTTCATTGGCTGAGGGGATAGTCTGAAAGTCACATCCAGCTGAACCTTGGGGAAATATGCTTCAGCAGTTTATCTAGAAACCTTAGAAATCCAAGCCATGTTTGGTACTGGGCAAGGAGAAGAGTGGGCAGATGCAAGGAACATTTCTGAGTATCTTAGTTCAGGCTGCTATAACAGACTACCATTCCACAACTACCATGTTGAATGTTTTCAACAATAAGTGGACATTTATTTCTCAGAGTTCCAGAGGCTGGGAAATCCAAGATCAAGGTGCTAAGAGATTCTGTGACTCATGAGGGCCTTCTTCCTGGTTTGCAGACGGTGGCCTTCTTGTTGTATCCTCAAAGAACAGAGAGAGGGGGGGGTTCTGGTCCCTTCCTCTGTACATAAGGGTGCAAATCCCCTTATGAGGGACCCATTTCGTGACTCACCTAAACTTGACTACCTCCCAAAGGCCTCATCTCCAAATACCATCACACTGGGGATTAGAGCCTCAATATGAATGTTGGGAGGACACAAGCATTCAGTCTATAGCACTGAGGGTGATATGGTTTGGCTGTGTCCCCACCCCAGTCTCACCTTGAATTGTAATCATCTCCATGTGTCAAGGGTGGGGCCAGGTGGAGGTAACTGAATCATGGGGGTGGTTTCCCCCATAGTGTTCTCTTGGTAGCAAATAAGTCTCATGAGATCTGATGGTTTCATAAATTAGAATTCCTCTGTACAAGCTCTCTTGCCTGCCGCCACATGAGATGTCCCCGTTTGCTCTTCCTTCATCTTCCTCCATGATTGTGAGGCCTCCCCAGCCATGTGGAACTGTGAGTCCATTAAAGCTCTTTCCTTTATAAATTACCCCATGTCTTTATTAGCAGCATGGAAACAGACTAATATAGAGGGACAAAAACAGGATTTGGCATTGACTGGTCTTCAAGGTCTTAAGCCCGTATGACCATGAAGCAGTACTGAAACTGCAAACAGGAGGGACTGTATGGGGGAAACTATCTTCTGGAAAGTGCCAGCAGATTTTCCAGGTGGAAGATCCCACTGGCAGCCAGAAACATGGGTTTGTATCTTTTACAGGAAGTGGGCAGAGCCATCGATATAGATCTGGGAGCTGTACTCAGAGGCAGGAATTAAGGTCACGTGATAGCCAATGAGTGAGAATGAATGAAGTGAAGAGAAACAGATGGCAGATCCCTGGGGAAGTGCCTGCAGAGGGGCTAGAAGGAAGTATCAGAGTCAACAAAGGAAACTGGGAAGGCATAGATAGGAGGTTGAATACGGGCCCTCAAAGATTTCAGGTCCAATTCCCTGAAACCTGTAAACGTTACCTTATATGGCAAAATGACATTGCCGATATGATTAATTTATGGATCTTGAGATAAAGAAATTATCCTGAATTATCCGGGTGGGCCAAAAATGCAATTTCATTTATCCTTTCAAAAGGGAGGAAAGAGAGAGATTCTGCACACACAGAAAAAGAGGAGGAAGTGTGACTACAGCGGCAGAGATAGGAAGGATACAGCCACAAACCAAGGAATGTTGGCAGCCTTCTGAAACTAGGAGAGGAGAGAAATGGAATCTGCCCAGAGCCTCCAAGGGAGCACAGCCTTGGTTTTGACCCAGAGAATTTTTTTGTTTGTTTGTTTGAGTCAGAGTCTCACTCTGTTGCCCAGGCTGGAGTGCATTGACACAATCTTAGCTCACTACAACCTCTGCCTCCCGGGTTCAAGCGATTCTCCTGCCTCAGCTTCCCGAGTATCTGGGATTACAGGTGTGTGCCACCACAGAGGGCTAATTTTTGTATTTTTAGTAGAGACAGGGTTTTGCCATGTTGGCCAGGCTGGCCTTGAACTCCTGAGCTCAGGTGATCTGCACACCTCAGCCTCCCAAAATGCTGGAGTTATAGGCATAAGCCACTGTGCCTAGCCCCAGTGAAATGTTTTTGGACTTCTGATTCCAAAGCTATAAGAGAATACACGTGTTTTTTTTAAGCCACTAAGTTTGTGGCTATTTGCTACAGCAGCCATAGGGAATGAATACAACATGCTCACAGAACTAGATTGAAGGAGAAACCAGAGACCATGGGGGAAAGAGGTTGAGAGGAGCATGTGGCCAATGGGAAAGTATGCTATGGGTTGGGGAGGGGGACGTAGACCTCACAGGCAGGGAGGATGCAGGACAGACTGAAGGATGGAATGTGTGAAGCAGCCCTGGGAAGTGGAAGCAGTGGATATGGGTTCCTAGCTCTACAGATCAGTGTAGCAAAGGAAAGATGAGGTGATGGTGGATGGTAGAATCTTGGAGGTTGCATATCTTGTTTTATAAAATAGAAATACAGCACATGTTAAAAAATGAAAACAGCACAGAAAGGTGGAAAATTAAAGACTTCCTCCACCCTTGCTTCTTGCTGTGGTCCTCAATCTACTTTCCAGAGACAACCTTCAATTTTTAGTGCATGTTATCAGAAAGAATCTCACAACTTGGCCAGTAAATCCGTATACATAATTCCCTGTTGGTGGGCACTTGGATTTTTCCAGACTTCTGTTATTAAAAACAGTGTTGCAATGAGTATCTAAGAACAAGGTGTCTTCAAATATCTGGGCTAATATCCATAGGTAGATTCCTAATAATGGAATTACTGGGTCAGAGGGTAAATATGGTGAAAGTTGCAATAGATAGTGACCAAATGGCCTACAAAAGAGTCTTACTAATTTTTATTTTCTCTATTAACGCATGACTGTACCTGTTTCCCTGCATCCTTCGCAGCACTGAGCTTTGTCAAACCTTTTCATTTTTGCTACTCTGATAGAGGAAAAATTACATCTCCTTGTGACTTAGATTTCTGCATTTTTTTAGTGATGGTGTGAATCGTTTAATACGTCTGCTCTCCATTTCTCTGTTTCTGGCTTGCCCATTTTCATTCAATGTTTACATACATGTTGGAAATTGTGGTGCATTCAAATAAACAAATTCTATACTCAAAATGTGGGTAAATCTCACAAACATCATGTGAAGCAAAAGGACCCAGCACAGTAAGATTCCTGGATATAAAGTTCAAGGACCAGGCAGACTGCAGTTTGGCATTTTAAACAGGCTAGTGGTTATCCTTGACAGAAGAGAAGTGACTAGAAAGGGGGTCTAGGAGTATTGGACTAGGACGTATTTGCAGAGGTTGGTAATATTTTGTTTCTCATCCTGGTTATGTGGGTGAATTCGCTTTGTGAAAATTCATTCAGCTGGATACTTCAGTTCTGTGCACTTCTCTTCATGTATATTCTACTTCCATTTATAAAAGAAAGGGAACTATTTTTTAAATATTTTTGAATGCTTAGAATGTGTCAGACACTGGATGAGTCAGATGAGGCTCTTGTTCTCATGGACTTAAATTTAGAATGAGATAAACACGTCAAATATTTAGTGCAGTGCCTAACATGGAAAAGCACCCAACAAGCATTAGCTGGGAGGATTTATTTAAGACAGGGGAGAAACTGATCGGTGCATATGGAGACCTAACGGGTGCGTGGCATGGCTGGGAAGACACGTGTGATGGAACGGTGGGAAATGAGGCTGCAGAGTGAAACAGGAGCACATCAGCAAGACCTTGTCAGGTCCTAAGCAAAAGGAAATGTATCCTGAAAGTGACAAGGCTCCAGCAGAAGGTTTGAAGCAGGAAAAAGGCATAGCCAGATGATGCTCACCATCCTTTCTAACCTGCTGCAGTTCTCCAGCTCCCCATGGTCCCACTCACAGCCTGAAAACACACCTGCACCTATCTGATGGCAAGCCCAACTACATACAGTAGGGTTCTGCTGTGGTTCCATCCAGGGATCAGGAAGTGTTCCTGGGGGCCCCTCATTCCTGGTCCAGGACCTGCGCCCAGGCTAAACCTAGCCCCGCTGTGGCTCTATCATACATTTCTTCACTGCTTAGCCCTAGGGCTGAGGAGAAATTGGCTTCTGGGGAAACTCAGCCTCTGTTGTGGAATGCACATGCCCAGGTACTAAGCACTGGCTCCACCACGCGGCTCCCCACTCACGCAGAGCAACCATTGCTGGTTAGGTCCAGAAGGGGCAGCAGAGAGTCCCGTCCCGATCACCAAGCAAGTGAGTAGGGCGTTGAGGGCTGGACATCAGCCCTTTTGGGGCTCCCCTTTCTTTCCCATGTCCTTCCTGTTGCAGTGCTAGAATTTCCATTCTATAGAGAAGGGGTTTAGGGACAACAGCTCAACGGGGGAGGGAGCTTGAAGCTGCATTTGCATATAATCGATTCGAAATTGAGGAACATCAGGCGTCTGCACTAAGGAATGAGACCCGATGGAGAATCGCGGAGAAGGGGTGGCCGGAAGTCCTTCCGGAACTGCCCTTCCGCTTCCCACCCTCGATGCAGCCGGAACGTTTTTTCATTCCTAACGCGCCCCGGCTCTGAGCTGCAGAACCAACAAAACCTGTGTCCTCAGCTTAAATATTTAATGGGCACAAGGAGCAGCCATTAGAGACTGGAACAGAAGCTGACCAGGGGTCTGGAAAGGATGGGTTATGACATGGCCCAAGTGCTCCCTTGCCCTCCATTAATAATGCAGGAATCGCTAGAGTGCCTGCTCGCTGGTTTCGCCTGGGTCCTATGTTCCTCTCCGGCTCCAGTGCCCTGCACAGGGAGCCAAAACGAAGTCTTCCTTCTGTTTCAGAGGCCCCCGTGCCGGCAGGCTGGGCGGGAGGCTGGCAGAAGAGGGGCGGTGAGGGCTGACTTGCTGCCAGAGGTTTAACGCTGTCCTCGTTCTGTTTCCAGGGGAGGCTCAGAGGCAAGAAGGAGATGAAAGTTGTGCCGCTGCTGAGGCGTTGACAGCGCCTGAGGATGCTGGGAGGCCCACTGTCAACTCCCCACCAAATCAGAGCTGCGGGGACCAGAGCAAGCTCTTTCATTCTCCGTTACCCCAGTTACCTTCTGAGGAAGAAGTAAACAGCCTTGGAAGGGAAATAATTGAACTGACAAAGGAACAGGCAGCTGCAGAGCTGGAAGAGGTCAGAAGAGAGAGTCCCATAGAGGGTCAGAGGAGTGAGACGGGGCCCGCCCCGCAGGGCCTGGCCGCCCCCGGGGAGCTCCCCACATCTCACCTGGACTCCTTCGAGGCCAGCCAGCCAGCAGCCGAAGCTCCCTCACTGGAAGATGGCGAAGGGATCCCAGAGGGCACAGGCACGAGGAGCACCGTGAAAACCTGAAGGGGAGAGGGATCTGACGCAGTGACACACTGAAAGCCCCAGAGAGGGTCAAGAAGGAAGCATCAGAACGGCGTGCCCACGTCGCCTTCTGAAACACCTCCGAGTCTGCAAGTGAGAAAACGCTCTGATCCTGTTGCAAACTATGAATATTCCGATGATGCCGGTACAGTTTGATTTATTAAATGGAGGTCCTAAAGCTTCTCCATGGCATCTCTCTGCGGAAGAGCGCTACTGTGAACAGGGCCAGGCCCAGGAACTGTGTCCGCCGTATGGCTGGTTTTCAGCATCCGTGTTTCTGTCAGCTTTTGTTTTATCAGAGATAAGATGTTTTTGTATTAGCATTTCATGTCGTCAATCAAAATTACAGGAAGAGCTAGAAACTGATGGGGTTTTTAATCAGGTCCCTGACTTGGTCAAGGTTAGGCAGCTGGAGAGGAAAGTGTAATTGAGCAGAATGTGTTCAGAGGGCCCTCGCAGCCCATCAAGTTAGGTCCCAGTAGGACCACCTGGCAAGGGTGTGCCTGGCATTGTGCCCACGGCACTGCTGTCGTGGGGCAGACTGGCAGGTGGAAGGGACCTTGAGCAGGCTGAGAAGGTTGGGCTTCTGGGTTGATCCACGGCCCCTGTTGAGGCCTGTGTGGTGAGTGCCAGAGCTGAGTTTTCCAGCTTGTAAATCCGGAGAATTAACTGATCTGAAGTGATTGGGAGGGGTAGGCATAAACGCTGGAGATCAGGACTCCCAGTGGTGATCTGGTTTTTTGTGAGGTGAGATGAGATGAGAGCTACAACCTGGAAGTGCTCGGTCTCTGCATTCAACCTGTCTCACACTGGGATTGTATGGCCAGTTTAGGTTTGGGAGAGATCTACTTGCCGGGAGCCAGTCTGGTTTCCTGGACCACCTGGAACTTCCAAACCCTTCTTCACTCCTTCAACAATGTTGAGGCTGCCTCATTTGTGCCACCAAGTGTTGGAATTTTAAAGACCAGACACAGAGTTTGTGACCTTATAAGGGAAAGAGAGAGGAAAACAAAACAGCTTCACTGGAGCCTGGCAAGGAGGCCTGTGGCACCACGGGCACAGTCCAGGGTTGGGAAAGGAGGCCATGGTCAGTGCCACCTGGTTCTTTCCTTTCGGATAAAAATTAGATTTTCTAGATGGCATCCAGCACTGCAGAAAATTGAAAGATCATCCAGCCATAGCTTTTTCCTTCCCTGGAAAGCCTGAGACTAGATCCCAAAGCTCAGAATGCCTCTGAGAACCAGAATCACTCCTTTGAGAGACCCTCCTTGCAGGAAAAAGAGAGGCTCCCAGAGCGGCAGCCTCTCTTAGTGAAAATGCATCCTAGAAATTCGATGTTTATCCCAGGCTTGTGGCACTAAGATGTGACATCTGGACACGAGGGGCCGGCCACACAGATACATCCCTCCCACATTGCATCTCCAGGAATCCTCTGCGAGCAGAATGGTAGCCCTATCACTTTCTGTGCTGCTCCTCTGAAGTAGGCCCAAGTGGAGCCCAAACAGACCCAGGCCTTTGTCTGATGCACACTGGCTGGGCCTCCCACTACTTTAGTTGAAAAGGGAGCATGCTGCTGTCCGGGCTCTGTTGCTCCTGGTGAGAAGGACATACCATTGACCCCACCTACCACCGGCTCTAATGTTTCATCCTTTTGTGTCCCAGCCCGTTCCCTCCCCACCAGGCCCACCCCGACAGCCTCTCCTCAGGGGAGGCTGCTCCTGCAGCTGGAGGGCTTGCACAGACCAGCAGTCACAGAAATCATTCTTCCTGCTGGACTGGGCCTTAACTGCCTGCAAATGTTCAGCACAACTGCATAGGATACCAGAGCCACCAAAGGAAAACACAGCCAAATTTAATATAATAATAGAAGGAACAACTCACCCTGCAGAACTCTGGTTTTGACACACTGTCGGCCAGATGCACCTCTTCAGGGCCTGTTTGGCACCTTCTGAAAAGCAGGGCTCATAACAGACTCCAGCACATTCCATCAGTGTCAGGAAAACTGCAGTGAGTCCCAGAGGATCTGGGGTGAGGGCAGGAGCAGCACTCATAGGGAGCTATAACCTAAACTGTGTGTAGTCATGTAGTCAGCTGGGAGGGTCTTATATTATTAGATGAAATGAGAGCCAGTGAGTAAGTTGATCCTGTCACAGATGTAACCATGATAACACCCCATGGATATGTGACACATGTGTCCTGCCCCTGCTTTCTCCATCCAATGTGGTTTTTTTTTTTTTTTGGAGACAGAGTCTCGCTCTCTCACCCCGGCTAGAGTGCAGTGGTGCAATCTCGGCTCACTGCAACCTCCACCTCCAGGTCCCAGCTCAAGCAATTCTCCTGCCTCAGCCTCCTGAGTAACTGGGATTACAGGAACGCGCCAGCATGCCCATCCAATTTTTGTATTTTTAGTAGAGACGGGGTTTCACCATGTTGGCCAAGCTGGTCTCAAACTCCTGACCTAGTGATCCTCCTGCCTTGGCCTCCCAAAGTGCTGGGATTGCAGGCGTGAGCCACTGCGCCCGGCCCAATATGGTTCTTCTTTTCCATAGACATTAAAAGGGAGTTCTGCAATCACTTACAGCTGTCTTTTGTCTTTTTTAGGATCATTGTTTAGGGGGCAGCATTCTCTCCCCTATTTCACTAGATAACCCTGCATCAGTCATGGTCCTCCCAGCTCCAAGCCACATTTATAGAAACAAACAGTAGGAAAATGAATTCTGTTGCATAACAGGAATTTCGGAAGTAGGGCATTCCAGGGCTGTACATTCAAGAAAGTCATCAAGGTTCTAGTTTTCGTCTTCTTGCTTCTCCTGCTGTGTCAGCTGCTTTCTCATGATAATGAGATGGATGCACCTGTTCAAAGACAGAAGGAAGTTTCTCCCACATACGTGTGTGTGTGTGTTTCAAGAGCAAAAACCCAGCCCCTATCACATTTGATTGGCCAGAATGATCACCTGGGGCTTGTCCCACGTGACCTTATAACATGATGATGTCACATGATGATGTCTTAACCAATCCTTAGCAAGGGAGATGCTATTACCATGATCCGTTTAGGTTCACCAAGATTCACCCTTAAGAACTGAAGAAGGGCCCTGTCCTTAGATATTCAGACTTTAAAAGCCTGAACACCAAAACAGTATCATATCTTGGGATGTGTAAGAGATCTGGGAATAGACAAGCAGTGTGTTGTCTCTGAACCCCATGTCTTTGTGGGGTTTTTTTGTTGTTGTTTTTTTGCTGCATGAAAAGCCAGAAAATCATGTTTCTAATGAGTCTGGAGTTAAGGGGAGGGGCTGTGGTTGTTTGCTCAGAAAAATGCCATCTCATCCCCTCCCTGGCGTCCTTCTGAACTGTCCTGTTTTGTAGGTGGAGTGTTCCCACCTTTGTTTGTCTCTTCAGGCGTGTTTGTCCTTCCATTATTTTTCCAGCTGGGTTGCCAGCAGAATGCAGAGCAGTCTGGAGAAATGAAACAGAGCTGACAGGTCTCTTAATGAAAGCTTGTTTGCACACCCTGCCTTTCCTGTGATCGCTCTGTACCTGAGAGCCTCTAGGTGTGGATTTTTACATATGAGCGTTTGTCCTTCTTTTAATTAAGGCCCTAGAAATGGATTGGTTTTTCTAACCAGGCATTTCTCATCCCCCAGTCTTGCTCTTCCTCTTTCCACACCTTCTCTGCCCGCCTTCCTGTCCTCTTCCCCTTCCTTCTTTTGCTCCCGCAGCTATTCCCAAAGCCTCTTTGGCAGAGAGGCTCCTGATGGCTTCAGCTCAATGCTGGCTGGACCCTTCCGCCTTTTGGCAATCTTAAGCAAGCAAAATGAGTTTGCCCATCATTGCTCCTCTTCAGGGACCTCCCTCCCAAACATGCACCACCATCACGACACAAAGTTCTAGAAAAGGGCTCTGCTATCAGTTATTCACATGTTGGAGTAAATATTTTGATGTGTTATACCTACTGGTAGCCTTTGCACCCCAGTTCACCATATGGCATGAAAAGTTCTGTCTCCTCTCTAAGGAATGGCAAAGACCAGTTACTTACTTATTGAGGTGATCTTCCCTGTCTCTTTAAAATTACAGCATGCCTTTGCCCCTCTTGGTTTTCACTCCAAAAAAATGGGGTGCCCTCCTGGCTTTGTTGTTTTCCCATAGCCCTGTACGTGGCTTGGTACCCTACTAATTTTTTTTTTTTTGAGACAGAGTCTCGCTCTGTCACCCAGGATGGAGTGCAGTGGCATGATCTCGGCTCACTGCAACCCCTGCCTCCTGGGTTCAAGCGATTCTCCTGCCTCAGCCTCCCGAGTAGCCAGGACTACAGGCACATGCCACCACACCCGGCTAAGTTTTTGTATTTTCAGCAGAGAGGGGATTTCACTGTGTTAGCCAGGATGGCCTTGATCTCCTGACCTTGTGATCTGCCCGCCTTGGCCTCCCGAAATGCTGGGATTATAGGCATGAGCCACTCCGTCCAGCTTTTTTTTTTTTTTAAGAGTCTCACTCTGTTACTTAGGCTGGAGTGCAGCGGCATGATCTCAACTCACTGCAACCGCTGCCTCCCGAGTTCAAGCAATTCTCCTGCCTCAGCCTCCTGAGTAGCTGGGACTACAGGCATGTGCCACCATGCTCAGCTAATTTTTGTATTTTTAGTAGAGACGGGGTTTCCCTATGTTGACCAGACTGGTCTTGAACCCCCAACCTCGTGATCTGCCTGCCTCAGCCTCCAAAAGTGCTGGGATTCTAGGCATGAGCCGTCACTGCACCCAACCTCTACCCTACTTCTTTCTGAAAAAGAGAGCACCTTCTTCCTCTGCTTTCATTCTGAAGACTCCATTTAAAACACTCCTCCTCCTTAGCAATAGTGAGAGTCCTTTCAGACTAGATAGGATGTCAAAAGGCCAAAGCATTGCCCCCAGCTCACTACTTTAATGTACTCCCTTCTTTCCAGGTGTCTTCCTGAACAGAGAAAAACTTACAGCTCAGAGAGATGCAATTGGGAGCTCCATAGTGAATCTAGTTAGAAATGAGAAGCAGAAAAAATAGGAAAGACCTGTCTCTCAATATTATGGTCGCTTCCAAAAACAACACCAAACAAGTTGATACAGCATGAAGGCAATTTAAAATGATAGATCTGGACATGCTGCTTTACATTTCATATCACCGCTTTATGAAATGTGAATTTTTTTGGATGCAAAGGGAAAGTGTGCATAATATTGAAAAGTTTGACTTTCTGGAATCTGTGTGAGCTGAGGAATATATTTGGGGATCTTAGCAGAGGCCAGTGGTAGCCTATTAAATGTAAAACAACAATTGGCTTTGTTTTTAAAACCAGCTGCTATTTTGTAGTTTCATTTAAAGAAAGAGTACCTTCTATTCATCTGCAGAACTCGCTTTATTGGATTCTTTGGTCATTGTGTATCATAACTGTATCTTTTTTGTTACCTGAAATAAAAATGTGGCAATTTTCCTGGTAGAGATGATTAATTATCTTTATTATTTGCTTCATATTCCACCCTCAGCACAGAGCAAGCAGAGGCTGACCATGACTGCTAACATATTGCAGCAACTTACCAGTTGCAATCTGTCACCTAAAACTATTTGATCATATGGTAGTCATGAAAAATATGGAGAATGTAAAGATTTTATGCACTCAGTCAAAAAAAGGCAGATCTAAAATCAGTTGGTTTATTTCCTGCAGTCTTTCAAGTTGACCAAAGCACTCACTGATTTGCTCTATTTTCTTACGTTTTTAGTATTTCTGTATATATGCACTAAAAAGCCCCACTCGGAAAAAAAAATCAGTGCAATTCTGAGAAAAAGCTTATCCTAAACATCCAAAGATAGCATTTCTAATTATTGTCTACATTGTGTTTAAACTGTGCAAACTTGAGCATTATTCTCACTTTACCAGCTGTGTCTAGGTAGAGTCATTACATCAAACGCTTCTAATTTTACAAAAAGAAATCAAAACAAGTGTGTGTTTCAGTCCCAGTGACAAATGCAAACCCTGTGAGTCAAACAGGCAAACTGATTAGCAAGCTGGCTGTGAAGTCAAAACAGCAAATATAAGGACATTAACAAAATAGATCTGTAAGATGAGAGAAGTAAAAATAGACTCCAGGGGCCAAGTGGGGTCCGATGGGTGGCTTTGGTGGCACACATATGGTTCTGTGCCAAGAACCAGATGTCTGCCTTTATGACCCACAATCCTCCCTTCATCCTAGATCCCCTCCCCACGAGAGCTGGGATCGCAGAGTTCATGTCATCCAGTCTCTCAATGGATGCAGAGATCCTTCACGGGAACCTCAGAGGTAGCAACTTTCGTTCATTTGAATCCTGGTTGCATGATGCTTACCACCTTACAAGGCAGCCCCATCTATTTATTAGTAGTAGCTATTTTTTTAAATCTTCATCATTGTTATTAATTAGATACTTATTAGGTCCTTATTTGTTGTGCATACTATGTTATGCACCTCTTATGAATAATGCTTGATTTAATCTTCAAAACAATCTGGTATGATGATCTTATTTTACCCATGCTCAGAGAGGTTAAGGGACTTGTTCAGGTCACACAGCTTGTGAGTGTGGCAGAGCTGGGGTTCAAATGGAGCTCTCTACCTGAATCTGACCTGTTAACCACCATGCTATATGCATATCTTTGCCCTTACAATTAACTGTAATTTGTCCTCCTATTATTTCCTGTTTTTTTTTCTTTTCTTGTTTGTTTTTTGTTTTTTTTGTTTTGTTTTGGGAGTTTGTTTTGTTTATTTGGTTTGGTTTTGGCTCTGGAGGCCCATAGGATATTTTATCCATCCTATTCCTGGAACAGAAATCGAGTGAGTCTGCTAGGGTGTCTCTCCAGCCCTGTCTAGGGGGTCAAGGGTTGTGAAGAGAGACACTAAGAACCGAATGCAATTGACAAGAAGCGTCAGCCTCCTTCTGAAAAAAAAAAAAGAAAAAGAAAAAGAAAAAAAAAAGGATCCACACCTTTCCTGATGATCCTGAATTCACCATAATCCAGGCAGCAGAGTAGAAGGTGGGTGTTGGGGATTTTAATCCTCTCCATCCTGAGCCCCCATGTAATTGCTGCCTCGTGGCAACTTGTAATTGGGGGATATTTGAGATCAGGATCGGAAGACTTAGAGACATCGTTAACTCATTCCCTTTCAGTGCTGGTGCCTACAGTTCAAGTTAGTATTCAAACCAGTAAGATCCAGTTGGTGGAGCAAAGTCACCAGGCAATAGCCTTTCTCTCCCATTGTCACCTGGGTTCAAGGAAAAATTTTTAAATAACAAGTTAGTCCTAGTTAGAGGTAAAAATAGCTCCTGGGGACAGGTTTCTGGCTGCGGTTCAGTTTGACGCACTGCCTTAGGAGTCTGGGAGAGATAGAAGCTGCCTCCCAGTAACCGGGGCAGAAAAGCCAAGGCTAGGAAGTGAGGCTACCCTGGGAAGGTAAAAAGTTATCACAAGTACGTTTATTCCGTGAATGAAGGTGAATACGCAAGACTGTTCTAGCTTGGTTATAGATTATACAGTTCGATAGAAAGCTGAACTCCCAACAAGCCTTCATCAAAATCAGCCGCCTTTTCATCCCGCTGCCTCCGTTTGCCTCTGATCTTGGTCCTGCTGGATGCTAACAAAGTCACATTCCAAGCCCACCATTCCAGTCACGTGGCTTCCCTGGCACTGTCTCTGACATCTGGGAAATGGACCTAACGCTGTACTCAGAGGCAGATGTGACAAGCCACCAGCCCAGGTGACATAGAACGCCTCCTCCACTCAGGCCAGAGTCTCCCGTGTCATAATCATCTGGAAGCTTGTTGCAAATAAACTTTCTCTTCTCCCTTTGGATTCCACAGCTCTGGGATTTAGCCCAGGAAGCTGTATTTTTTAAAAATTTCCCTGAGTGATTCTGGTGACCTTCCTCTTGGAGCCACACTGAAGGGCAAGACAAACTGGCTGAGCGTTGTTGCCAGTAGGGTTAGCGGGGTGGGGGCAGAGGTTCAGGAGAAGTCCTGCAGGGATTTGGGAAATAGCTTTGCCACTTAAAAAAAGAAAAAAGAAAAAAAAAAACTGAGCCTGGGAGAGAAGCCTAAAACAAAAAAGTAACCAAGGCCCCGACGCAGTACTGAATTGCTGAATTTTTAATGTGCAATATGAAGACCGCCAAATATCCCCCCAAAGGAGCAGCTCTCAGTGGGGTGGCGGTGGATGGGAAACAGCTAAGGACGCCGGGCAGTTGGCCTGACATCCGCTGCACCGGCCGGCTGGCCACGGAGCGGTGGTGGGTGGGGAGGGGGAGGAGGACTCTAGGTAACCCCCCAGAGGGGCCTAGGAGCGAGCGCCTAGGAGGAATCTGAAGGCGGGAAGAGAGAAGATTGTCAGGTCAGAGGCGGGGATTCAGGGTTTTTAGGGCGAGGGAGGAGGGTCAGAGGTGGGGTCTCAGGCCTTATGGGGTGGAGGGAGGAGGGTCAGAGGCTGGTACTCAGGTCTCATAGGGTTGGGGGAGGAGGGTCCGGGTGGAAAGAGGCCTGCGGGAGCCTGGGAGGCTGTCAGCGTGGACGGGGTGTTTCAGTACAAATGGAGGCCCTGGACCCACTGAGTGGGGGGCCCCGAGGGTTGGGCGGTTCTCGGGATGGAAAGGGTGGAGGGTCTCAGCGCACAGAAGGGAGACCTGGCTGGGGAGGGCTGCGGAGAGACTTCAGCAAAGGCGAAGGTGAGACCCCAGGGTGGAGGGTGCCTGTTGGAGAAACTCAAAGGCAGAGGGGGGCGCCGGGGGTCCCTGGCCGCCGTCGGGGGGCACGCGCTCAGGCGGCCTTGCACTCGCTCTCGCGCCGCCGCTTCTTGCGCTCCGAGTGCTCCTGCGCCTGGCGCGCCCAGGGCCCGGGGCCGCACACGCCCACCACGCAGCAGGCCAGCCGCCGGCCCGCGTTGCCGTTCTCCACGCTGGCCTGGTTGCCGCCGCGGCCCAGGTCGTCCTCGCCGGCGTGGACCACCACGGCCCGGCCCACGATGGAGTGCGGGCCCGCGAGCGAGGCGGCCAGGCCGGCGCGGTACTTCCAGAGGCGGCCGTCGCGCACCGCGAAGTTGCCGAAGTCGCCCGGGTGGCGCGGGTGCGGCACGGACAGCGGGTTGTAGTGGGGCCCGGTGGACTCGCAGCCCTGGCTCAGGTCCCCGAACTGGTGCACGTGGATGGCGCGGCTGGAGCTGTTCGGCTCGGCCGGGAAGCCCTCCAGGTCGAAGAAGGCCTCGAGCTTGGCGCGGGGCGCGAGCTGCCGGAACAGGACCACGCCGGTGACCCGGGGCTGCGCGGCGTCCAGCGTGGCCGAGGGCTGCACCTGGCAGGTGGCGTGGAGCACGTCGTCGTCGTCCCGCCGCTGCGTGAGCTTCTGCCAGATCTCCGAGACCTTGGCGTGCATGTCTCGGATCCGCTCCGCCAAGTCAAAGCTGGGCTCCACCAGGTCCTCTCCCATCCAGACGTCCGAGGCCCCGGCTGCCAGGAGCAGGCAGGAACACAGCAGCGCCAGCATGGCCTGGTCGGGCACCTGCGGGACGCCCCCGCCGAGATGGGGGCGGAGTGAGGCTTAGTCTCTTGAAACATGAAATCTCAGGGACCCCATCGTCGCAGAGCCAACTCCTCCCCCCAGTCCCCAAGGGGCTTCCTGACCCAGTGGATATGCATTCTTGCAAACGTTTGTCCAAGGCCTGCTGTGGGCCGGGCACTGTGTTAGGTGCTGTGGTTGTAAAAATGGGTGAGACCCACTCTGAAGACACCCACAGGCATCTGAGTCACAAATGATCATGGTGCTTTCCAGTCCTGTCTCCATACCGGGGAGGGGTCTCAGGGAGCATGAGGGGTGTCTCATGGCCCTTCCGGACCAGCCCCTCCCCTCCTCGCCTGGCCTCCTGTCCCCCTCTTCCTCCATCCTCCCGCACAGACATCCCTGAGGCTTCCGTCCTGCCTTCTTGGGCTTTGCATGTGCTACGCCTTCTGCCTGAAGTGACTTCTCCCCGTTCTCTGCTACACTCAGTAGACTTGGAGCTTCTTGAAGACAGAAACTCAGTTTTATTCATCGGTATCCCCAGCACCTGGGCCCACACCTGGCAATAGGAGACATACAATATGTGATTGTTGCATAAGGAGTTCAGTGAAGGACAGACGTGGCATGCAGTCATTCCAGCACAATCCAGTGAGTGAGGATGGGGCCTGTGCTGGAGAAAGACAGAGCAGGTAGTACCTAGTACCCATCTCCCTGGGGGCCTCTGGGAGGCTTCTCAGAGGTGGTGACTTTTGAACTGGATTCCACAAGATGGGTAGGAGTTTTCCAGCCAAGTTGGGTAGGAAGGCCATCTCAGCAGGTAGTGCAGTGGGAAGTTTTTAAGAAGAAAAGTGGGTGAAGAGGTAGTCTTTGGTTCCTTAAGTCATACAAGTAGAAGGATGTGGGCTGGACTTTGAGATGAAGAGAGAAGAGGAAGAAGCATGGGAGTAGCCTAGGGAGAGACAGAGAAGCAGAAATAGAGGCAGGGAGATAGTTGGGGGCACTGTAGTAACCCAAGCAGGAAATGAAGGCTTTTACCAAAGTGGAGGCAGCGCACGCAGAGGAGGCATGGGTTAAGAAGCACGCCAGGCGGCGCTGGCAGGCGGGAAGGTGAAGGCGCAGTGCAGATGACCAAGTTCCCAGCAGGAGAGACTGGTCCCGAGAAGAAGGGAGAAAGGATGAGTCCAGCCAGAGTCTCCTGAGGGTGAGATGCCGGAGGGTGCCCAGGTGGGGAGACAGGTGGGCAGACAATGGGAAACTTGAGTCTGGCAGTTGGAAGAGGAAGCGAACCTGGCAGGGCCTCTAGTGTTGACTGCACATCAGATTCTAGTTTTTAAAAATTAGATGCCCAGGCCCCACCCCAAGAGATTCAGATTCTGTAAGCTTGATTTAAAAAAAGGAAGAAGAAGAAAGAAACAAGAAAGAGATAAAAAGAAAGAGAGAAGGGAGGGAGAGAGGGAGAGAGAGAGAGGGAGAGAGGGAGGGAGGAGGGAAGGAAGGAAGGAAGGAAGGAGGAAGGAAGGAAAGAAGGAGGAAAGGGGGGAGGAAGGGAGGGAGGGAGGGAGGAAGGGAGGAAGGAAGGAAGGAAGGAAGGAAGGAAGGAAGGAAGGAAGGAAGGAAGGAA